CGATGGTGTCCGCCGTTGTGTCTAATGCTCAGGTAAAAACGAATCCAAATATTGAAGCTGTTACAAACAGCGTTTTTATCTCTACTCAGAATAATGCTGAGTTAGGGTTACTGAACTTCATACAATGAGATGCAGAAATACTGGAAAATTGTGAGTACACTGCCAAGACATGAGAAAAATGCATTGCCGACAAAGTAATAAGCTAGTGGATACCGTCATCCCGTGCTAAATGAGCTATCGTTGGTGTAGAAGCAACAACACCATGTGCTATTTCCTGTCATCCGGTAGAGCTGCTCACCGGCAGATACTGATGAGGCGCAATTTGATGGTATATTTGATTCTGCTCAAAACTACATTGCTCACGTGTACATTCCCTCGTTGGACTGATGACAATGAGGAACAAATTTACTTGCAAGCAATCTGGTAGACTTGACGGCTTAATAGATGATAAGAAAAAACAATCCGAGGAAACAAAGTACGCTTCAGTTGCTTTAGCGTTGTCTGAAGAGATGCACGCATTCTAATAACTGGCGGTAAATTTGACAACTGTTAGTGTGGTTTAAGATATGAGTGGGGTAAATTCAACTGTTTTCTCGATTCTTTCATGGTTATCAGAGTTATCTTTCGTAACTTATTGGAATTCGCTGCCGTTCTACCAATCAAACACATACTGGATGACATAGAATTGTGTAAAATTGTGCGCAACAAAAGTCCGTCATCTGGATATTCCGGCGTTACTTTCAGGATGGGTAGCAGTATGGTAATGTTATTGGTGGCACGTTACATGCTTATCCGCGGCTACTGCCAGTGCTCCTCTCTAACTGAAGACACGTATAGTGCTCCCGCGGATTATACTTAAACTCAAGATCAGTTGCTTCGATTATTCATATGTTCATTGATCATATCAAGATATGGAGAATGATCAGAGGAACCAAAGACCACCAACGGCTCCAGCGCGACCTTATCACGGTGTTGAACTGGTCAGTTCAAAACGCCCTACCATTCAACGTAGACAAACGCCGCGTTGTAAAATTGCGCCACAGACATAATTACACATATTTGCTTGGGACAAACGGATTACAGACAAGCTCCCAGGAACGTGACCACGGTGTGAACGTATAGAGCGACGTCAACTTTTCAAAACTGGCTAAAGTAGCTGCAAAAGGATGCAACCAGCGCGTAGGCATGCTGCGAAGTGAATTCGGGAGATTTGACCCCTCAATCTTTCCAATGATGCACAAATCCTACGTGCGCCCGCATGTTGAATACGCAATCCAAGCTTGGCAAACTTGGTTGAAGCGGGACCTAGATGCGTTAGAGACACCACAACGAAGAGCAACAAAGAACGTGATGGGCCAATGCTATCACCTTACCACCGAATGCTAAATTGCTGGGAACTTTCAACGGGAGCTATAGAATGCTGCGCGATGATCTCATATTAGCGTATCAGATATTGAGTGACCCCAACCGCGTATGCCGCCATTTGCTTAAACTTAGCCACAACACGCAGCTCAGTGTAACTGCTTATAATTGAAGGAACAATATACCCTTCCAGAGTGTCGAAGGAATTACTTTTCCCTTCGGGTTTATCAACCACGGAAAGCACTCCCAGACTCAGTTGTATCCTATCCTACATTGGATGTATTCAAAAAACGGTTAGATGTTGATATTAGCTCCCAGCATTTTGTTACCTAAACTCCTCTATTTTGGATAACGCCAAGCATGCTACTCAAAAGAATATATGTATCAAAGGGATCAAAGCAAGCGAACATTTTTACTCTTCTCACGCCTTCCATCAACGAGCACTGTATCCCAGTGTCTTTCTGAACGTTTACGCTCGATTTTTTTTCCATTTCACACCAATGTAATTTATCAAATCTAGGCAGACGTTCTTTAGATGACCCATATATATTTTGATTTCATCATCTTCACCCGAAACATCCTACGGGACGTGACAACCACTTGCTTTTATCCCGTGATAAATCATTTTTCATTGTATAAGATTAGCAGTGTTAGCGTACACCCTGAACTTCCACTTAGCGTAAGTCTAAATTAGTGGAGAATATCTGGAGTCTCAGGAGCAGCCGAGCGGAGAGTGAACAATGTCTCCAGTTAGTGGGTTTTCATGTGACCTCCCAGCCATCTATCTCTGTCTTGTTGGAGCCCATTTTATTAATGCACGGTCCGGCAACGAGTGCTTAATAAAATCACTGAATTATCGTTGAGTCATATGCAAACATATGGCGTGGAAGTTAGAAAAAAATGCGAGGCAAGACCTTAGATTTTCGATGATTGATCTCGGTAAGCGACATGTTTCATGTGGCATGTGATAAATTAATTTCCACTTCGGTGGTCTGGGATAAATATAACCTTAGCCCGTAGACCTTTCTACTCGTTAAAACCAGCAACGTGAGGATGGCGATATGAGCACTACCACTGGGTTCGTTAGTGGGTAATTTGAATGCACTGAAACTACTCAGTATTGCACAACAACAGCGTTCACCCAAAGCGGCTGCAAAATCTGAACTGTGATAGGATTGGAACAGAAAATCTGTTCTCGTGTCGAGTTATGTTTATGGTCTTCAGCGTCTACTTGGCTGCCTTGCTGGCAACACGAATATCCACACCATAGCAATCTCTATACTTTGACATTATTTTCTGTACCTTCCATCACTCATTGTTACTATCATTCATGTGGATGACTTTCTTCCTTATTTGCCATGAATGAAATTATCTACTTGGTGATGCAACAGTCCCAGTTTTACCGGAGCTTGCTAAGTGATGATTGGTTAATTAGGCGCCTCGGGGTTGACTGGATGCCCCACAGTATGTCCGGCTCCTAGGCTCTCAACCTGTCCTATTTTGATTGGTCAGCTTTACCCTAAATTGGTGTGAACTCCCAGGTTCCCGACTCAGTGTTACTTTGTTCAATGGGTGCCGTGGATCATTTTATTTGGGTTGCTCCTGGAGAGGTATTTTACTTTGAAGGTGGGTTTAGACTATTCTTATGCTTATTTCTGGTTCAAATTTTATGACATAGACACATGGTTAGTAAAAGTTTTAATATGCTATGCCGATTTGCAGGAGAATGTGAACAGGCGTATATAGATGACCCGAAGCTTCACTCAAACGATAAGGGTGCCTATCATACGTATCACCTTCGTCAAATTTTTGTAGATATTGATATTGTCGGGGTCATTTGGACTTACAGTTCTGTTCTGATTTCTATCATATAAACATGCAATAATTGATCGTTTCAAAGAACACAAGCATAACTTAGAGGATATAGGAAAATAAGAAACTCATATTTCTGCTTGAACAAAGTGAATAATAATTTTAAGATCTATCCTCTCTAATGCATAGTTGACACTATTGTTTGTCGTTGCACAAGTCTTTCGGTTTTTTGATGATTCACATTCAAGGTGCCACCATGGTTTTTAATGAAATGGTTGCAACACAGGTTTCATGTCCAGAGTACAAAAGTTCATCGGTAGTCATACATTTCGAGTGCTCGGTACGTATAGATTATGGGACTTACATTCAAGGGCTTTATGATGCGTATTCAATCATACATGGATATGCCCGTAAGTAAAAACGGGGAGTGGACAATGAGCATGTGTGCAAAGTAGCTATTAAAGGGACCGAATTAAGGAACACATGCAAACGAGCAGATCATCTTCGTTGCCATGAAATACAGAATAACAGTATTTTTATTAGATCTTGGTATTTGATTCGAAGGCACACTGCTGTCTGATAAGTGAGTATATGGAACTGACTTTCCGCTCGCAAGTTAAACTGACTTCCTCTCATCAGTGCTTTGACTCTCTAGATCTATTTGGAAAACTTAATTTTTTTGACTAATGGATGCTCCATAGATTTGTTTGCATTCATTAATCCGATGCGGTCCCTTGAGAAGGACGTAATCAATATGTTCCAGTGACATAGTTTCAGCAAGCATCCGGAGGTTTGCAGTCTACATTATATTGCACATAGGGATTGACCGCTGTGCTTTCACCGTTTTGACTCGAATGGGCTTGTGTACTTTGGTTCGATGCCTAATCATGATCTACCAATAATAATTAATGCAAGTATTCTACGGACTGCATGCTGTTGACATTAGATGACGCAAAATCATGTTTATCAAATGTGGGACAAGGTTACCCGTCAATGCTTCCGAATATTCGACCTTGCCGGATTTCGTTTCCAGATTTGATAAAATCTCACGCAAACACAATTTCATTGGAGCAGTTGAATTTTATTGCTGGCAAGTAAACTAGCTGACTTTCAGCCGGATAACTCTTTTTCCGTTATTTTATTGTGACTAAGATACTTTGCAAACTTGACTGCATCTATTGTTAAGCCCACATATTCAGGTTAGGATTTGATCATATAAGAAAGATACTGTGTGTTGTATGTTAAGCAAGGGTTGACAAATGCGATAGGGTTGGGAATATGTCCAAATGGCGTTCATAACAATCAATTGGACGATGTAGAAGCAGCCGTTTGCAATGAACCAAGGAGCCGCCTAACTTGTTTGGCATTGCTCTGTAAAGGATAAAACCAAGCGGCCATCTCCTAGAAGTGACTGTCTACAAATCACTACAAAGGTGGGTTTTTCGACGGAGGATCCAGCATGTCAATCGCATTATCCATATTCACAGTTTCACTAGATTCGTGCGAAATTCGTTAAAATAATTCAAAGGTTTCCTCAACAATCGCATAGAGTGTATATACACTAAGGATTCGAGACTTTCTGGCTCATTAATTGTACCACGCAACCTCCATTGTAATAAACGGAGTACGATTAGAGTGCATTGCACCGGCTTCAACTTTCCAGTGGTGCACATTCTGGATGGATTCCAACTTTAGATAGTGCGAGCTGCATTCGAAGAGACAATTTGGTGCGAAATATACGCAATGTTGCTATGGGTAGTGTTGCTTGCTCTATAGTAAGTGTTATTTTCGCAGCGCTTAAGACCATAGAAAGACCAAATTCTATTATGCAAGTGGCATTGCTTACAATTCGTAAGTAGGACAAACACCAACTTAGTGTGAATAAGTTACGATGTCCCTTACACAAACTTCCAATTTGTGGTTGCCGTAGATTCGATCGATGGATCTTTCACTTTTGGATCCTTCCTTGTGAATCTTCGGAGCACGACAGCATGCATCAAAATTACCTCCCCACGGACAACGCGAGGCTATGTCCTGAGTGGTTCGGACGCACAGTTGCCGAATGGAAATGTGTATGTCGCAGGTAACAATCTGTACCAGCTAACACTGAGATTAGTTTCGGTAGAACCATTTTCTCCAACCTATCAGTTGGAAGAATTAAAGCGGAAAATGTTACTACAAAAGAGAACATTTTGTAATGAATTACGTCCAAAGATAAACCAAATCGTAGGTTCTTTGCTATGCGCATCACTTCCTCTTGTCCTGAAACAGATGCACAAACCAGATGCTGCAGCACCAGATAGCGTGGAGCTAATTTGCAGTCTGTATACGACCGGACACATTGTTGTAAACCGACGTCGGGAAATACTCTCCGGCGAAGATGCAAGTATGGATCTTTGAATATTTGGTTACAATTGACTTAGCAATTAATTTCTCCGTAGCCACTGTGACAAACGATCGAATGAAGTTTGTCATTCATCCACTAGCAGAATTCAGTAAGGCAATACGAGAAACAAATATTTCTGTTACATGTGAGTCACTCGTTTCCACACCATTTCCATTTGCCTAGTCAAATGTGGTATGATAGATGTTGGCGGCACACGTGAGTTGCGAGAACAATTCAGGAAGAAAATTGCCATACCGAAAGTATCTGAAAGAGAGGTACAAAAGGAAAAGGTATTATACCGTGTTCGATGTAACCTATCGTTTTAGGATTCGCACTGTCAAGTACATGCGTGTTGCTGTAATACCTCCAACAAGACAACACGGACTGCTTTGGTAGGTTTCGCAGTTCAGCCAGCGTTGGCCCAGTGTTTGGGCTTATCGAGTCTCTACGCACTATGTATATAATCTCTCGTTTTGTTATAAGCAGAAGTGCCATCAGGTTACATCAAGGGATCAAATGAATGCCTTATTCGCTGAAAAAGGAAGAACGGATCAGCTATCTTTAGAGCCAGTGGAGAAACAAGTAGAAGCTGTATGGAATGAGAACAAGGTTAGTAACGTGAGATATAATGGAATTTAATTCTCATCTCCTTCACCAGCTAGCGGAAACAATACCAATCTAGTGCTTTTATGGCTTATGTCATAATGTTATTTAATTTGCTGCTTCAAAGTCGTTTCAGATAAGCTTGTTGGGTCTAGTGGCGCATTTTATTCTGTAAGCCTTCTTACGAGGTAACTTAACAACTGTTTAATGGGCATACAAATACCATTGGCACCCAATTTCTGAGGACTTTCATTAGATTTCATTGCACGTTAAATCCTGTAGTTGCAAAGGTTCATAGAACATATTTCGCTTATCATTCTCATTAGGGTGCCTACTTTGTATTCTCATGTTATGTAGAATAATAGAGGTCCGAATAATTAAGATAACAAGGATATCGTGACATTCAGACATGAACCTATGGTCAGTATTTGGTGCGCAGTTCTCAGAAATCACCTGGCTTCGTCGTGTCCCAGTTAGGTTTCCGTTTGTAACAGGTGATCTAGCAAAAGAATACGGGTGCCATCATTAGTGAACATTCTCCATATTGATAACGCAGATGGGTCGACTCCATACAAAAGAAGTCTCTCTGTGTGTGTGGCATTAAGCATAGAGTAAAAATTTGATTTGGTTTTGCCAAACTGCTAGTTTGACTTCACAATTTCCTCGATTGCTACCTAGATTGGATTACCAATTGTCGGCACAGGTGACGGAACAAAACTTTACACATTCTAGAACATTTTCTTACCTCGTAAACTGTTCGCCATTTCAGCCAGCAATTGATGCGTTCTTGAAAACACTGGCCCAGTGCATCAAGGACTTACATTTATTAGAAAGCATGGTGAGTTCTGCTGTGGATAGCTCTGTTCCAGTTGCAAGCCGTTGCATTTGGGTCTACAAAGTAATATTTAGTCCGGTTATCTTGTTGATCATCATCCATTTCTAATATTTCAGACTGCGCATTCTTCAAAGCTTTTGAAACGGATGCAGTTTAATTAATTTGAGAAGCAGATAAAAGCATTTTGGAGTAAAAGCCATATAAGAGTTGAACCTCCGCGGATGCGTGCTCTACCATAGGCACAAATATGATATTGTAATGGGATGCCTGTTTGCCACTCAACGTCTTGGTTTTGGTTATACTCTGTATAGCACTGGGGTGCCAAAATATGTTTATCAAAGAACAGATTTATAACAGTAACCACTCATCCGTCTGCCATTTACATGAGCTGAGCTTTCTGCTGTGCTTTCAATAAGGTTTCTGGTGCAAAAGAGCAATGAATAAATTTGGTTGTTAAATCTAGCAATTGATTGCATTAAAAGCTACCGAAACTTTAACATCCACTCCATATTGTTTTCCTAGCCGATTCCCTTTGTTTCCTGTACAAATGTTGATGGCCTTTATTCGGCGTATCTTTGGAAGTTTAAATATCGAAGCACAGCATTCGTACGTATTAGGCCGTGGGCCGCCGTTTGCAAACATCCTTATGTGAGATAATGTATGAACAATACCGACTGCGAAAATGTTACCACAACAGCAGATTTACTGTGGAACAACACGAGGGGAGGAAATTCCTCCATAACTACTCGGACAGTTACGAAGACCAATGTTTTCTGCAGTATATGTGTCCTGACTCCGCGGTCATGTAGATTGGTAATATGGCGGACAAGATTTGGTGTCCAATATCATTGACCCCATGGTCCATCTTGATTAAAGAGAACACATAAGCAGCTTTATTTCACAAAGTCCATATCTGAGATGCAGGTGTTTCGAGGACGCTCCTGCATTTCGGATGCGATGCTTATAATCAGATTGACCACTGTTTGCTTCTAAGTGCACAAAAATCTCAATGGATTTTGCATGTCGCAATCCAACCACAGGATTAGTAATCCAAATTCGACCCTGTAATATGTTTCTTTTCAACAGTTAGCCCCGTTACCTTTTCCTTGGGAGTGTTTAGCAGTAGAATAAAAATAATCGTACTATCCGTAATCTAGTATTACGTGTTATCATTTTAGTAAATCACTTGGAGAGCTTGCATGTTGTGCATACAACAGCTTGCTGCATTAATTTACACAGTGCCGAAGAGTATATTACTAATTCTGGGTATGCCGTATACGTTCCCTTAATCTGCTCGCCGTGTGAAATTCGATAAGCGTTATCAACTACTACCCTTTACAGCCAGCTTTCTGTCATGCACTGTGCAACCTAGTTCAGTGTGTATTCAATACACCGGAACCGTGGACCGAGGTAAGCAATGTGAAGATGGAATTGAACGCTTTTTTTATTTTAGTGGCATTTGTAGCATTGGTTCATCGTGATTGCGATTCTGAAATCTGTGTACTTATTTTCAGGCTTCAGACTCGCGGACTATTGGACGTCAAACTGGACACCATACACTTGCAGAAATATAAAAACGCTTGTTACGTGAACGGTAAGCCAGATTTCAATGTGACAATGTTGGGTTTTACGGGGGGCTAATTCTAAATTGTCAAAGTTATATGACAGTTGAACAGCTTTGGAATGTGTTATGAAAGAAATATCTCGAAATGTTTTCAATAAGTTATGACTAGCCACTGTGTCAAGGTTACCCGCCGTGACAAGGTGGCAGCATGTTTCGGGATTTTGATAACAACAAGACGTTTAGCGTTCGAATGCTAGTCTTGCTGTCTATACCCGTTGAGTGCAAATAGATATAGATGTAGTACATAGATAGATGGATAGATAAATATAGATAAAGCTATAGATACAGATATATTTTAGTGCCATGCTGCGGAGGCGCAACATGTAACATTCGTCTGTTTCATAGGTGGTTATGCGATCCATTGTATGGAATCCACTTTACGCGATTCATGCACGCCGCCATCCACTCAGAAGACGATGACTCATCTATCGAATAATTCATATTTGCACTTGGAATCGCTGATCGAATCATATGACAAATGTTCAGGCAATCTAGCCGTATTATTATTACCTGGCTAAACAATTTGCGACTGGTCCCATTTGCAGTTGCCTGATATAGAGAAGCATCCCTTTTCTGATGTCAGCAATATTTTTCGGACATTTATTCTTTGATTGCAGTGAAACCTCTGTAAGTTGACCAGTCATTGGACGAAAAGTGGTCAACATATTTTCACAATTTACGGAGGTTCAAGGCCAAGCGTAGCATTCATCTACTTTGCCGTTGTAAGTAGAGTCATATGAAAATGCTTTTCAAACAAACCGCCTTCAATCACATTAGATGAGCACTCACGTAACGGCATACATAGTCCAACCAAACTGTGTTATGACAACCCCAAAGCATTGAGATTTTGAAGTTCAATCTTTTATTAAACAAAAGCCGACCTCTTACTGTTTATTTTACCGCTAACTGAAAAAGCGTTTCCAGCATAAACCTCATGGCGCAACATGCCATCCTGTATTGCTGAAGCAAATAATTTCAGTTACGATAAAACATGTCTGAATTCATTTTCCTTTTTATATTTATGTGATTTCAAATTCATCGTAAATCTCTCTTTTTGTTTATTATCAACTTCATCTGGCTTGTTTCTTGTTTCCATAGGGGTGTACGGCTTTCCGCGTCACTTGGAAAATCACATCTGAGTCGGGATCAACGCATGTTACCAAATAATCCTTCTTTTCAATAAACTATGTAAATCTGTTCCGTCGAATTCTGCCCAAACAGATGGAATGTCCAATAAGGCGACGCACCCCACTTGAGCTTCTTAAGAATTCTAGCTTTGCTGAAACACGTTTTATTTCTGCTTGAAATGTAAACCAAGCGGAACATACCCGAAACACAGCATGCAAGGCATTAACTAAAGCAATCGATGAAGTTCCCTTCGCATGAGTACATTTAGTATGCAAGTTAGTCATAGCACATCGCATAAGCTTGGCACGGAAGTGCATTTTGAATATTTCCATGATCAGTCGGTCCAGATTGTGTATCCGCGAGGTCATATTTGAGACAGAAACTTAATTGTAAAATTTGTGAGATTTTGACATGTGCTTGACTAGGACAGCTGCCCACAGTTGTTTCCTCATCAGTACTTTCTCAATATTTCTGATCCACTCTTTAACTGTGGCAGCAGTGATCCACGCAGATTGGTTTGGTTTTTAGGTGACTGGAAGTTTTTCAGAATTTAGGTTTAGAAGGCACGTGTTCTTGCTGATTTACGGATGGCCAGGTGCTTTAGATTATCTTCAATGTGGAACTTTCAGTAAGACACGTTTACGCATATATTTCTTACCCTTTATAATAAACCTTCTGTTAGACATCGTCTGGTAAAATTGACTGCAAAAATAACCGTTAAAATTCTCCTCATAGTTGGAACATTGCTCGAAGATCATTTAAAAATAACCATGCAGGTATTTCATTGGATTTGCTACATAAAAATATCTTTGAAATTTCATGTGAGAATTTCAATTTCTGTGGCACACCATTGGATGCGTGGAATTCTGCGACCTTAATTACTTATGAGAAGGTTTTATTGAATCGTCTGCTCAGAGAATCAAGCGTGAGTTGCTCTCATTTGCTCTCAACTATGCAGCGTAACCGCACTGGCTTCATCGTGTAAAGGTTTCCGCTTCTTTCGATGTAGAACTCGTGCATTTTCATACCGCTCCAAAAATTCATATGTTTGCCTTTGGAAGATGCTAACTGTTGGCTTGCTAACTTTGAAATCTCCTGCCGTCTTTTTTTGGGTACTGCTTTCCAGAAAATTTAGTAAACTAAACTTTTCCTTCAAAGCCAAATCGCAGCGCTTTTATTTGGACCATAAGGGTTAATTAGTTGTAGTGACCGATAATAAATGGTTCGAAGTGCGAAGCGGATCTAAAGTCCTCCGTTCAATTAACGCAACATTATGTACACATAATAACTAATAATAAAGGATTTCCCTCTCAGACCGACACCAAATAGAGCCAAATATATAAGCTGGACATATTGTAATCGTATACGGAATCCTCGCAAAAATGCAAATGCTAATGAAATGATACTTATACCTTGGGTTAATCATTTGACAGTCACTAAAACTCACAACTGCGGCCAGTGCGATGGTTAAAAGAAAGGGTAGACGAAGGCTTGCATGTGCCGGAGGACAGGTGAGGGAAGTTGTAAACAAAATTCTAAGTCATCATGCAAACGATGATCGGTAGAATTCCCCATTGATCCAGGCAATACACGCGCACGTAAAAGATGAAAGTCAGGACCAACAGCACATACAGATGTGGGCCGTAAATATCCCCGCAAAACGCTCCAGAATCTCCGGCATAATGGCTATGGAAAGCGATGTCCAATTCCTCAACACAACGAAGCAGTGTTCAGCCAAACTTAGACATGGCCCAACTGCGCACCTATTGATAGTGCTCTTTGGCTAACTACCACCGCATGGTGGTAGCAATTTTCTCTAACTCAATAACCCATAGCATTGGCTGTGAGTTGCCATTGTTGGTCGTAAAAGAGCCTTCAGATGACCACTCGCCTTTCCTCCTCTTTGCCTTAGCTTCGAGTCGGTCGCTCACGTGGTTTTGTGTGCGTCGTTTGCCGGGCATCGTTCGCGTCTAAGTCACTATTGCGCGTCTACCTTAAACCTCTCTCGTGTGCGTCTGCCCCGAGGTTCAGCGTCTACCCGAATACGTGCGGTTAGGATCGTTCTCACACTCGCTCAATTTCCTTCTCACCAGCGCGTACCACGGGCTAAGCTAACGCCATCAGGTTAGCGCAAATCCGTTCGATTGGTCATCGTTCCAGGCCGTTACCGTAGGTGTGTTCTAACCCTGCCAGTGACAATGTTGTTAGGCGTTACGCAACCACAGCAGCGGCGTCCCTCGATTATAATAGTTGCAACCGAGTTGACGAAACGTGACTGACGAATACGCTGATGTAAAACTGATGCTGCAACTACAACTTACATTGACGTCCGTCTAAAGCGAAAATCTCTCCAGTTCCTCCCTTCATGCAGGTCTTATCGCCAATTCTCATTCAGTGGACCATGTGGTTAGCGGCATCAGGGAATTCCTGTACGACGCCTGGACCAGGTTAACGTTGGCATCTTGGTACAAACAGTACGAGGACCTTTTCACCTTTGACTTGGCTTGCCAGGACGACGCGTGGAAGCTCCGGCTACTTCTTCGCAAACTTGGTACGCTCGAACACTAACGCTATACCACATTCTTCTAACGGAGAAATGCGCGTGAGGTTACCTTTGACGAGACGGTCCGAACGTTGTCCCAGATTTTTGGCGAGCAGTCCTCTCCGTACAATGCTCGATATCATTGTCTGCAGCTGGCCACACGTGATGCTGACAACTTCGCGTGCGTGGTCAGCCGTGAATGCCAACGGTTTCAACTTGACTCACTCACCGAGGACTAATTCAAATGCTTCATTTTCGTCTCTGGCTTTCAGTCTCCACACGATGCAGATATCCGGACTCGCATCCTGTCCAACCTACAACCAGACAGCTCAGTCACACTCCAGAACCTGGCGGAGGAGTGTCAAACTCTTCCCAATCTGCAGCACGATTCAGCCATGATCCAGAACGCCGCCGCACCTGGTATGGTCCATTCAGTCACAGCACCGAGGGCGCAATCGTCCTCGCGCCCCAAACAATCGGAACGAGCGAAGTCACTACCTTACGCGTGCCGATTCTGTGGTGCCTGGCATTTCCACCGCGACTGTAACTTCCGCCAGCATCGTTGTCAACGTTGTAGCAGGATGGGGAACGGAGATGTATACTGCATTCCCACCTCTCCCGACGGGGCCAAAACTGGGCTGGCTCCCACCTGCGATCCAAAGAACAGTTTCCGACCCAGACACACAACCAAACCTACTCCGGTTGGTAGCTCCCTGAGCCTGCTGGCCACGTTCCAAATCAACGCTGCGGATCTTAGAAAATTCATCGACGTCTTGCGCAACGGTCAGTCGGTCTGATTGCAGTTGGACACTGCGTCGTACATCACGCATATCTCAGAGGATCTCTGGCGATCCTTTGGCAAGCCGCCATTCGAACCAACCTCCTAATCTGCCACCGGCGCCTGTGGTAGTCGCGTGCAGCTAACTGGGCAGCTGCACTGCTCCGTCTTCTTCCGAAGCGCCACGTTCAACGCGATCTGCTACATCACGAAGGCGAAGCTCAACATGCTTGGTCTCGACTGGCTCGAAACCCTTGACTTGGCCGATCTTCCACTTCGGGCCATCTGCAATGTGGTCCATTCTCCGGCAGTACCAAACAACAGAACCGAAGACAAGTTCATTCAGTCCGCCCCCATATTCCAGGATTGTCAACAAACCTTAAAGATGCCACCACAGCAATCAACGGTTTCTTGGCATCCGCCAGCAAAACCGTGGTCTCTACTGCACTTCGACTACGCTGGTCCTATCGATGGCAATTCGTACCTGGACGTGGTCGACGCC